ACTAGGTCCCTTCCGACCCTTAATCTATGAATCTATGTGTACTCCCTGAGATTGGCCATGCCCACCCTGAGAGAAGCGCCAGGCATGTAGGTAAGGTTTCTTCTGGGGGGGGCGGGAGGGAATCAAGACCTGCCACAGTACAGAAGTGGTGGGATAGGGAGTGGTGAATGGAGCCCCGGCTGGTGTGGGTCACGGAACAAGCAGAGGCTGGCGGCTCCTGCAGAGTCACAGTGCTGGGGAACCAAGCAGGGGGCATGTGAACTCCTCCAATCTTTGCATGAGGCAAGGGCGGGCTGCAGCTGTGAAGTGTGCTGGGACCTGCCTGCTCCGCACTTTGCTGCAGCCTTTGAAAGTGGTGCAGCACAACATCATGTGCCTTGCTACCCAGCCCACCCAGTGGTGAGACACATGTGGCACTGCACTGCTTTCAAAGGCTGCAGTGAGGTGCGGAGGGCTGGAGCAGGCAGAGCCCAGGTCGCCTTGCAGCTGCAGCCTGCTCTGCCCCATGCAAAGATTGGGGGGGGCACATGCCCCCTTGACTCCCTGGTGCCATGACTCTGCAGGAGCCACTGGGGATGACTTAGGTGGGGCAGAGGTCCTGGAAGCTCTGTCTCCTTCGGCCCAGTGGTGCAGCCAATGCTGGCCCTGCTCCAGCTCTAGAACCCCCTGGGCAGTGTAAGGCCGGGCCGAACCGGGGCCAGTGCGAGGAGGCAGCCAGGGCCAGTGCAGGGCTGGGGGGCAGTGGATGCTGGTGCTGGGCAATGACCCCTGGCGTGGGGAAAGGGGCAATTGCATCAGTGAAGTGGACCCTGGCCCTGAGCCTGAGCTCTGCCCGGTGCCAGCCCCAGCCTTGCTGTCTCCCCACATGGCCCTTTCCCCTCCCCCTGCCCCTTCCCCCACAGAGTTTCACTCAGCCTCCCCCACAAATTTTTTCTCTCTCTGTCCCCCGCCTCCCGGTCGGCCGCTGATGCCCCCCCCAGCATTAGGAAGCACCAGTCACCCATGGCAGAGAGAGAGAGAGAGAGAGAGAGTGTGTGTGTGTGTGTGTGTG